GGGTGGGTTCCTCTTCGGCGCGTATTCCACTGTCGAGAAACTCACGAACGGAGGTAAGTAGGAGGGAGGGAGGGAGGGAGGGAGGGAGGGAAGGCGACCGGGAGAAGAGAGCCGAGGGACGCATTGCCCACCGTGGGGGCAGTTAGGCGGTGTGAACGTCTGCGTGGAGGCGTGAGGTCTCAGGGGGCGGCAAGGAACGGGCAGGGAGGGCCGGGGGGGGGTAGGACGGTGGGAAGCCCAAGTACCTAACCCACTCTCCTCACGCACCTTCCCCGTCTTCTTCGCCCCTCTCTTCCCCCAGCCCTCATCCTATCCATCCAGGCTTGGAAGCAAACGTCCTGCCCGCCCACGTCGCTTCCCACTGCCGCCTCTTCTTCCTGCGGGCTCCTCCTCCGGCGAGTCCTTGTCTTCCTCCCCCCGACCGCCGTCCTGGTCGCCATCGCCGCCTGCTACGCCCTCGCCCCGTCGTCTTCCGGCCTTGAAGATGCTCCACACCGCGACCGTGCCGGGCCCTACAAGTACATCCGGGTCAAGAGTCGTGTGGGGGGGGACGTGGTGGAGGACGGGATGATATGATGGAATGCGACCCCTCGCCTTTTTGTTGCATCCCCTCCCCCGTGGAACCAGACTGGCGCGCGGAGTGTCCCAGTAGATTAAGAGGGATGCTTGGTTGTTATCCGTTGCCTCTTGCAGAGAGGGTAGAAGCACGGTTTAAGCCAGGATGAGGAGACACTCACAGGCGTGTGTGGGGGCGTATCAGAATGTGAAAGCAAAATACAACGGCGTGCAGCATTGGCATCACGACACATAGCCTTGTACAGGGCGTGCGAAGCAAGGAAGCGAATGGCATTTTTGCGCTCTTGCACTCCAAAAATCTTTAACCCTAACACTAACCCTAACACGGGCTCCGAGAACATCGACATTCTTTTCTTCCAATTCTCACAAGTGTGGTCGTGCATGTGTCTTTTGTACACCTTTTCCACATGATTCCTGTCACCTTGACTTGCGCTTTATCCCTTTTTTCCCTCCTCCTCCACCACCACTACCGCTACCTCCGCCTGGCGGAGGCCCTACGGCAGGCACCGCCATATTCCATTGTTTCAAAAGCGTGAAAGCTACGTCACTGTGCTCAATTGCAGTGGAACCACGGTGCCTCGCCATTTGCGCGGCGTGCGTGGCCACCGACGTCATGAAATGTTCTATCAAATACAAAACGATCTCTTCGGTCTCCCCATCGAGCCGAAACGAGCCCGTTGGGTCGACCTCATTCAGCAAAGATTGCAGTCGGCGCTGTTTCGTACTGGGAACTCTATTTGTGGCATTGTGCGTCGCTTTCCATTTCTCCAGCGTTTGATTTGGAGGAAGGGCCATAGGAAAGACTTCTATCGAGGACGGGAGTGCCCTAGTGTAGCGGGATATAGCCTCTCCTTTCTGGTCGTGTCGCTATCCCGAAATGCTTCCAACGAGCCCCTGGATAGATAGTGGTTGCAATAGTAGCTGCGTGAGAAGAGGATGGACGACAAAGACGCAATACTCGCAGGGTCACGACCGGCCCAACCAAAACGCAAGCCTCAGAGAGACAGTCAGGATTCAGAGAACGCGTAAAATGAAGCCAGGAAAAAGACGACGAGCGGCTCCTACCCCCTTACGCTCGAGAAGGCGACAACGACGTGAAACATCATGCTGTGACGCCATTTCCATCCCGTACAAGAATAAATGTGCACGTGTAGGGACTTATGCCATCTTTTTAACCCCACTCCTCCGTCGCATTTCCCCTCCCCCCCCACAGTCGTTGACTTGAACACTCTTAAGGGCGACCTACATGCACCTTCCATCCGCAAAATTGCCACCACCTTTTCCTCCACCACCACATTTTTACCGCTTCCTTCTACTCGTCCTGGTATTCCCTTGGACGGATGCTTTTCTCGGCTTCCGTCCGCGTCTTTTCGACTTGATTTCTCTGTCACATGGCGCGTTTACCTCCCCTCAACCCCGCCTGTCGCTGCGCAGGCGATCCTGTCGATACAGCACCGGCAGAACCAGTGGCAGTACTGGCATACCCTTTTCCCTTCAAGAATTGGGCGTGGCAAGCATAAGATTCAATCGGGCAGATTTCCCGCCCACCCCCGACACACTTTTCCCAGCCTCCGTAGATTACCTCCTCACCTTGCCGGCAACAATTGGAGGCGTCCCCTTTGAATTCACCCTTGACACAACCGCGTCCGTCAATTTGGTCACCAAAGAAGTAGTCGAAGCCTCTTTGGGAACATCGCCGAAGGCATCGGGGAAAAAGGGCTTCGGAAATGAGGCTAAAGGTGCAGGGGGGGGGAATGGAGGAGGAGGAGGCTTCGGTGGGAAGCAGGATGCTTCATCTCCCGGGAAGGGGAAGAAAGGAGAGAAGAAAAAGAAAAAAAAGAAGGAGGACAAGGAGTGGGAGGATGCGGGCGGGTCTTTGATGGAGGCGGAAGGTGTGGCCTTCGAAATGACAGTGTCGTCCTCCCCCCCGGGTTCTGGTACCGGTCAAGGCAGTAGTCTCCGAGGAATGGACGGGGGTGGGTGGAGGTTGTCTGGGGCTGCCTTTCCTCCGTTCCTTTGGCGCGGTGGAGATCGACTGGAGGCGCATGCAAGGGAGGCTGTGGGGGGGGAGGGACGGGCCCCAGGTCGTGGACGGCCTGGACAATTGGCGGGAGAGCGAGGAAGGAGGAAAGGGGCAGGAAGGCGCGGAATGGAAAATAGATTTCGCGCCCTTGAGGATCAAAATGAATGCCCAAATGGCATTGGAGGCGTTGGGGCAAGGCGAGGAGGAGGAGGATAAGAACGAGGAGGGCACCTGCCCCGAAGTCTGGGTCGTGGATGTGCATTTGGATGGGAGCGAGGCTGGCATCCCGGCCATCGTGGATTTAGGCTGTCAAGCCAGCATCCTGAATTGGAAAGCCGCCGAGGCGTTGGGGTACCGAAAGCCAACCTCGCCAGGAACGGCGGGGGCGGTCGAGGTCCAGGCGGTGGAAGGTATCGAGGTGGCCTTTGCGGACAAGACCAGCCTCTCCCTCGGGGAGCCCCACGGGGTCCGCGTCCCCGCCCGCCCGTTGGCGATTGCCGACCTTCCCGTCTTTGCCTACGCGGGCCTGGAGCAGGTACCGGCCATGGTCCTGGGGCTCGACGTCTTGGGGAGTGTCCAGGACACATTGGTCTTGGATTGGTCGCAGCGATGCCTGACCGTGGGAGGACCCCTCTTGCCCGTCAAACGCAACCTGGCCGCGGTGGATATGCCGTTGATCAGGCGAGAACAGGCGGTGGAAAGGGCGCCGGCGGGCGGTCAGGCTTACCAATACGGGGTGCCGGCCGTTCTGGGCGGGACGGAGAAGGAGGTGGTGTTGATGGTGGACACTGCGGCGGGGTGCATGGCTGTGTCCCAGAAAGCTTGGGAGGCGTATGCCGACGCGCAGGGAGGGCGGGAGGGAGGGCCGGCGGAAGGACAGGTGGTCGATATGGCAGGGATCGGGCCCGGGAAGGGTCTGAAGGCGAGGCGGCAGAGCGTGACGATGCATCTGGGCGGGTCGAGTGTCCGGGAAGGTTATGAGTTGACCACGGAGGTGGCAGTGCGTGGAGGGAGGGAGGGAGGGAGGGAAGGACCGGTTTGACGGCTTTTTGGGCCAATCCTTCTTCGGCGCGTATGCGGTGGTGGACTTCGATTGGAGGCATGCCATGCTTCGGTGTTATTCGGAGGAGAAAACAGAAGGGGAGAAGGCAACGACGCTGGATGGATTGCTCGATTTTTGGCCCCCCTCCCCCCAGCCTACCTCCCCGCCGCCCTCCGCTTCCCCGCCGCCGAGCCCTCCCCAAGCGGCCCGCTTGCACACGGGGGTGGCGCGCGACCGGCTCGGTCCCAACGCGTTGATGAGCGTGACGGTGGTGGTGAACGGGCGGAAAGACGTTCCCTGCTGTGGCCTCATCGATACAGGGGTCTTCACAAGCGTCTTGAACTGGGCCGCAGCCCGTGCCGTTGGGGGTGGAAAAGAAGGGGAAATAGGAGTCACGGTCCCGGCCAGGGAGTCGGGCATGGTCGTGGTGGGACTGGATGGTGCTCCTACGGAAGTCACGCTCGCCCGCTTTGACGAGGTGGCGTTCGAGGGCGAGGCCGAAGGCGGGAGGGAGGGAGGGGCGGTGGTAGTGCCTACGGAAAACGGGGGCGTGACGTTGGCGGTGGCTGATTTGCTGGGTTTGCAACAGTTGGGACTTCTAGAGACGCCGGCGATGGTGGTGGGCTTGGACCTGCTGGAGGGAGGGAGGGGAGGGAGGCTGATCCTGGATCTGGGGAGGGGAAGGCTCTTCATGGCGTAGGAAGAGAGGGAGGGGGCGAGGGGGAAGGGTTGAAATTTTGCCATTTAAAAGTACCAAAAAAAATGAATGGTCATGAAAGGGCAAGTGATGGATGGACGGGCGGTGGACGAAGGGGGGGGAGGCACGCTCTCCCAGACAGGGGGTGGCAAGAACGGAGGACTTCGAGCAATCTTTCCTCCCCTCTGTCATAAGACAACAGAGACGAAATCGAGAAATGCTGCCCTTCGAAAATGATAAGACAAGGGAGAGGGAATCGAGGGACGTGTTTCCCCCAAAGTAACGCGACCCCTGGCAAGCGCGCTATTCTGTCTACACATCAAGAAACATCCATCACTCGCTTATAGCCCGGCACGATATTTTTGACAAAACCGGGGCCTGGCCCCCGAGACCTTCGTCCGTGCCAATACCTATTGCCTTCCCGCCTTCCTCCCCCCCCTCCCGAATCCTCATTATACGTCTAACCCCTGGAAATGACCCAACAGACCCCCTCCTCCTCCTTGCCCCCCCCCCAGCATCTGCCCCAAGAGCCCCCCCCCTCCCCCTCCCCCCCCGCCTAGCATGCTCGACAGGAAGGCTTGCATCGGATTAGAGGCAGGGGACAGACCAAAGCCTCCCTCCCCGATGCGGCCCACCAATTTTTCCAGCGCCGGGTCCCGGCGCAGCGCGGGCTGGTACCGGGAGGACAGGAGTTGAAAGACCTCGCCCTCCCTCCCTCCCTCCCTCCCCTCCCTCCCTCCCTCCCTCCCCGGCCCGCGCTCCCAACAAAGCCACCACCAGGCCCACGTAATGCAGCAAGGGACTCGTCTCCAAGCAGGGCGCAAAGGCCGAGGAGGCTTGGGCCGCCGTCATCAAAGCCCGGGCAAAGGGGAGGGCCCCCAAGACGGCATAGGAAGAGGTGCCCAATCCGTGCAAAACCGCACGGGCGAGGAACAAATCCTTCTCACCCGCATAGCCTTCCGCGCTCCAAGCTTCCAGCACCTGCACATACGACGCCGCCAAGGTATCCGCATCCGGCCCTGTGCACTGCCGAGCCAGCTCCCCGTGTTGTTGGGCCGCCCGAGCCCACTCGCCCCTCGCACTGTACGCCTTGGCCAACTCCAAGCCCAGCTCCAAGACTTCCTTCCCTCCCTCCTCCGCCTCCTCCTCCTCGGCGGCCCACCGGGTCAACCCCTTGAGCAAGGCCACGCGTTCCTTCGATGCGGGCGGGAGCAGGCGGGCCAAGGAAAGCATGGCCGTTCGACCCCCCGTGTGGAATCGGTGGGCCTCCCAGGCAGGGTCGTCTCCCTCCCCTCCTTCTTCCACCGCTTCCTTGGTATCTCCCGACGGGGACCAGGTTCCTGCTTCCTCCGCGCTCATTTCTTCCACTTGGGGAACGGTGTGCCCCGTCGGCATGGCCTGTTTCCTCAGGGAGGCATTGTTGGCCATGTACAACCGCGCCAAGTCTAGCACCGACTGGTACTCGCCCACCTCTGCGAGTGTACGAGCCACGTGTAAGACCATGACGCGTGCCTCGGCGCCTTTTTTCCTCCCGGGGTTGGCGGCAGAGACAGGGGCACCGTCCAAGCGGGCAAAGAGAGCTCTGGCTGTCTGTAAGGCTTCGTAGGTCTCTCCGTCTTGGATCATTCGTTGCAGGCGGGCCGTGGAGCTGCAGGTGTTGGAGTCTCCATCGGCTCCAGCCACGAGGCTGCGTTTCCCAGTGCGACGGGGCATGATACTTCCACAATAAAAGAATGCACGACCGGGGCGTGAGAAACTATGCTCCGATTGCGCAATGGCAACGATCTCGAGTCAGAAAAATCGCCTCACAGCCCCTTGGGCACCAAGCTTTGCTTGCGCCTTCCTGGATCTAATTACCCTGTGAAAGTCGAGACTTTGAAGCATAAGCGGGAGCTTCGAGGAAGACGAAGGTGCAACCTGGCATCATCTTGCCGAAAGAGATATATTGGGCCCGACTTCCCTTGCATGAAGGCACGACAAGGAAAACTGACTCTGTACATTTTTAAATGAAAGGCCTGACAACCTTTGCAGGGTAAACATGGACTTGGCCTGTCAGCCACTTTGGCAGATAGGGGGGTACACGGGCAGGGGGAGCGGTCAACCAAGCAGGAAGCATGGCGTGAAAGACATTTGAGGAGAGCGCTATATACAAGCATAAAGTAACTCAACTCTTCAAAAAATGGATTGTCCATTGGAAAAAGGGAGAAAGGCTGGAGGAGGTGGAGGCCCTCGATCGAGAGAGAGGGCAACAGGGATGGAACTACTTTGTATGCTCGAGCAACGGCCATTACGAAGGCACGCACACGCTGCGACATTCGCAACATTCATGAGACCACCACCCCTGCCCTTCCCGTGCATTTTTATGACGGCATGTAGGGAGGTTTCTTGGCACTGCGAGTCAAAGCCAGCCCCCCCCAGGGTCTTGTCGTCATGCGGGGGTAGGGCGTTCATATTCTCCCTTCAAATTCCCCTCCAGTACGGGCAAAAATGCTCGCGCTACACGAGGACCAAACCCCCTTAACATCTCTCACATCTGTCACTGTCACCAGTTGGAATCCTCTGTCGGGTGGTGGCAGGTTGCAGAGTTTTTGGCGGGGACGACGTTCACACGACCCGCGACGGAAGCGTTCAACATGGGAGGCATACTACCCATGGCCTGTACTTTAACTCTCACGCTCCTCAATACCCCTCAGTATGTATGCCCACCCTCACATGTATAAAACCTACACACACACACACACACACACACACATGTGTGCGTCACCCTTCGACAGCGAGCGCGACGTTCCTGAGTAGCGGCCGGAAGCGGGCGGGCGAAGAGACAAGCAGGACGGAGGGATGGAAGTGGTCTCCGCTGCCATTTCTGCGTCTTCTGCCGCTCCCAGCACGACTGGAGGAGGAGGAAACACGGCTGCACCCTCTGATGCTGTTCTTTCAGAAGTAGGAGTCATCATTGAGAAGCTCTTGGCCGTGCGAGGGACGCGTCAGTCGAGTAACATGCAGGTAGGGAGGGACCTGTTGAGAGAGGGAGGGCACAAGAACTTGGGGCGCACGTGGCTCGAGAGAGGGACACGGAGGGTCTCATCCTTCTTTCAGACGAGTTAGAGATGGACTGGAAGATCCTGGAGGACAACCAGGGGTCATGGCAGGTCCCCAAACGGTGGAGGATTGCGACCTCTGCAGCTTCACGTGTCCCTTGTGTTACCCAACCTCCTCCTCTTTCCTCCTTGGCCCCTCCCCACGCCCTTAGGTAACCCTGACCGAAGACGAGGTAAAAATGCTGTGTCAACGGTCGCGGGAAATCTTTCTCACTCAGCCCATCCTCATCGAAGTGGAAGCCCCCGTCAAGATCTGCGGAGACCTCCACGGCCAGTATTACGACCTGTTACGCCTGTTTGAATACGGGGGCTACCCACCGGAGAGCAATTATCTTTTTCTTGGGTGAGTCAGGAGGGAGGAATGAGAGGATGGGTGGGAAGGAGAAGGACTCAGGAGGCACTCTCCGACGGCTTGCTCCTGTCCATCGCGCCCTGCCGGTTCTGATTCTCTCCCATGCCCTTTGCTTTCCATCCATGCAGCGATTACGTGGACCGAGGCAAGCAATCGCTTGAGACGATCTGCCTCCTCCTCGCGTACAAGATCATGTACCCCGAGAATTTCTTCATCCTCCGAGGGAACCATGAATGTGCCTCCGTGAACCGGATCTACGGCTTCTACGACGAATGCAAACGTCGGTACAACATCAAACTCTGGAAGGTACTTGCATTTTGCCTCTTTCTCGACCCTTCGTACCTTCCTGTAAGGCTTGGTTCGAATACAAACATTCACATATGCATGCTCCTCCTATCCCCCTTCTCCCCCCCCCCCAACCCTTCTTTCCCCTCCTTCCTTTCCCCATCCCTCCTTCTTTTAAGACTTTCACGGATTGTTTCAATTGTCTCCCTGTCGCTGCCATTGTTGATGGCAAAATTTTCTGCATGCATGGTGGCTTGAGCCCCGAACTCCATCACATGGACCAGGTAAGTCCTCCCTCCTTTCCTCCCCCCCTCCCTCCCCTCCTCCCTCCCTCTCTCCATTTTTCGCTCCTTTCCTCCCCCTTCCGTGCCCTGCTTGCGTTCTCTTCATGGTCAAGCGAGCCACGGCGCGAAACGAGAAAGACAGGCCACACGCTCGCCTGAATGCTTGGGGGCCCTCCTAGGGCAGGCACCCGGCCTTCCTTGAATGAAGACCCTCCATCTGTCCCCTCCTCCCTCCCTCCCCTCAGATCCGGCGCCTTCCCCGCCCACCGACGTGCCTGACACTGGGTTGCTCTGCGACTTGCTCTGGGCCGACCCCGACAAGGAGATCAACGGGTGGGGGGAGAACGAGAGGGGCGTCTCCTTCACTTTTGGAGAAGACATTGTCAGGTCTTTTCTCAAGCGACACGACCTCGACCTGATTTGTCGAGCCCACCAGGTACGGGGCCGACGGAGGGAGGGCGGGAGGGAGGGCGGGAGGGAGGGAGGAAGCGGTGGAAATTGGGGGTGTGGCTCACAATATGGACGTGCTCTCGGCTGTGTGGCCTTCCCCTCGTCCTTCAGGTGGTAGAAGACGGCTACGAATTCTTTGCACAGCGGCAACTGGTGACGCTCTTTTCCGCGGTGAGTCGGGTGCCGCGCAGGCCGCCTTTCTCCTGTTGAAACCGGCCTTGGCACGCCTTCTTTCTCTTGCATGAGCTTCCTTCCAGTCGCTGGAGGCGCGAGTAAAACCAGCTTTCTCAGCAACCTCCCTCCTTTTCATTCCCCGTTTCCTCTTTTCTCCCCGCCTCTCTGATACAGCCAAACTACTGTGGCGAGTTTGATAACGCCGGCGCCATGATGAGTGTGGATGCCACTCTCATGTGTTCCTTCCATATTTTAAAGTCCTCCGAGGCTCAGCGGGGAAGATGAAGGGGTCTGGAGGCCAGGCGGAAAAGAAAAGGGAGGGCGCAAAGAGATCAGAGTGGAGATGGTGGGATTGGGATTTGTAATGAGGGAGAGGGAGAGGGTGGAGGGCGTGACGGGTATGTAGATCTTATGCTCGGCAGTTGGACAGGTTTCACATTTTGAAAGTTCAAACTTCCAGTTTCGGAGAAAGCTTGGCGGGGTAAGAGTGAGATCCTCGTGGAAAGGATAGGTCACGAAAGTTTTCCAGAGGACTGCGCGCACGCGGGGGGGAGGATGGGTTGACGATGGCGGTGATGAAGGAGAAGGAAGCATGTAGAAAGAGGCTCGACGGTTGGGTGTGGTTTAGTAGCCGGAGAAAAGAGGGCGCAACTGGTGAGAACTGGGGGGGCAGGGTGGCGTCGACGGCGAATCCGAGGTCGGGGGAGGGAAAAGCGAGAGGAAGCCCCAAGGGTAGCGCGCTAAACGTCTGCCCGCACACAAAGAAGAAACAAGGTCCGGGAGGGAACACATCTTGGTATAGAGATAGACATGTGGGGTCAATTTGTTAGTGTTGGTGTTGCAAGGGGGCTTTTCGATGGCTCGGCAGGGACGCTAGAAACGCCTCAACGGGCCCGTTCGTTTCTCTGGTTCCCCTAGCTGCTTCCAAGGCTCTTTTTTTTCTTCCTTTCGTATAATTCATTCAAGTCGACCACGACGCCGGATTACATTGTAGATATTTAATATATACACTCCCACATCATGCTCTCAGGATAGATGGCCTCCTCGGCCATGTGTAAATATCGGGAGGTGTGTACGGTGTCCTTTTCCTCTATTTTGGTACATCCTACGCTTGACTTCGATGGGATGGGAGGAAATTACTCTCTGCACAGTAACATCACATCTTAATTCATCTTTCTCTCCTTCTTCCGTATGTTGTCAGGAATGTTCATTCTCTTGTAGTGACCTCGTAAGCCAACTCAATCCTGATAGTTGTGCCCCCATCTTCTTCCCTTTCCTCCCATTCAGAGCCTTCCATCCCCCCCTCGAGTCCGACAAAGTGCTTTCCGCCCACTTAAAGCTGCTGTCTCTCCGTCCTGACTTGGCTTTCTCATTCACTCTTTCATGTCACTGTCCTTTTCACTTGTTTGATCGACGTCTCTGCTCCCGACGCGAGCGGTCAATGATAATTAATCGAGCGTTTCCTTTTTCTTATCAAAACAAATCAAGTCGGCGTCAAGCACGACACCGCGCCCAATATCTTGAACCGTTCAAGATCCCTCTGGGTCTCATCTGGCACGCTTCGCCTTCACATTTGTTTGGGGGAAAAAAGTGCATTCCTCCTCGTCCGATTTCGGCGGCGGTGGGCGGGAGGCAATTTCATGTTCGAGCTGTTGCTTTCCTTTCTCCGTTCCACGTCGGTACATGGCGTCCATCCGTAATGCGTCATTCGGTGACCCTGCCCGTGTCATCGATACTGAGCTCTGCTCTTTCAAAGTGAGCACTTGTATGTTGGGTTGGAAAGTGCACCCTTCAGGCATTTGGACTTCCCGGTGCAAAGCCCGCTGTCTGCGAGCGATAGACTCTTCGTACAGACGTCCATGGGCATCTGTGTAGCCAGGCTTGCTGCCCGCTTGTTCCCCGGCCCTGCTTCTCTCTTCTCTCACGTTTGTCTTGGTAACCAGCTCAGGCCGAAATGGTAAGACTTGATCCTCGTATTCCTGACGTTGGCGGGCTTTCTTCGCCTCCAACGGCACCCGCGCGTGATACAAGCGCTCCCAGACCTTTTTCGAAGCGCTTTCTTTCTTTCCCTCCCCAGCCTTCTCCTCTGTCTCTTCCTGTCTCCCCACTCCCTCCTTCGCCTCTCCGGCCTCTCCAGTTTCGGCCCTCAAGCCCGCTGCCGCTGCTTTCATAGCCACGGGGGTCTTCAAGATCGCAGGAATGAAGGTGCAACCGTGAGTTTCCTTCTCTGATTTCCTTTTCTCCGCCTTTTCAAAGTAGTCCAAACGCTTTTCCAGGCCCTTGTAAAGCCGTTCATGCACGGGGGGGGAGTCGGCGGCATGCTCAGGGGCGGGAGGGGAGGGCGAGCCTCGCAATCGCTTGTGTTCCTCGGTCACCAGTCTTGGAGCAAAAGAACAGCTTGCACTTTCCTGCTTAGCTTTGATTTCCGCCCTAAGTTGGGTCATGAGGATGGAAATTTGGAGCGTGGTCAGGGCACGTCGTGTAAGAGCTGAGCGCGAGACGTCATCCTATTCATTCCACAGCGCTTCTTCTTTCGCCTTCACACCGCGCAAAAGTCACGGGATACTTACGCTTTCAGACGACATTCTGCCTGGCCCACGCCCTGCTTGTACAGCCGTTCGAAGACAAGGCCGTCCTCCCTCCTCTCCATTCCCTTGTGCCTGTCTTTTTCCACCTTGGCCAGATTGGGTTGGAAGGTGTGCTCGGCGGTCAACGTCTCCCTCTCCGCTGGCGTGGAAGGGCGGGAGGGACGCCCAGCAAAGAGGCGGTCAAAGACGTCGCCATTGGCCTTCGCTTTTGGGGACGTGTGAGAGGTCGTGGCTGCCCCCAGATGGGTAGAGGAAGCAGATCCCGACGAGGTGGGCACGGCAAGCACTGAAGGGGATGAGTTTTGCGATTGGATTTCCTGCCCGCTCGCCATGACGATGCTCGGATCACGCGAACGCCCACTCGCTAGGCTGGTTGAAGCTGCACTCGAGTTTCGGGATCGTCCGCTTTCACTGTGATCTTCGTTCTCTTCTTCCTTGATCTTGTGCAGCTCACCCACAATCGGGGAGGCATTCAGGACACGGGATGAGGGTGAAGACAAGGAAGAGGGGCCATGAATGACAAGCTGATCAGGCAGACCGGTCAGAGAGGAGCGGTTCGTGGACGAGGCGGTCGGGGACATGAACGTCGGGAGTGGCAGGGAGGGACTGCCGGATGCATTACGAGGCGACGACGTAGGGCGAGGAGGCAAGGGAGAGCGAGAGCGGGGGCCGCCAGGCGAGGAACGGGGTGACGACAACAAGGCCAAGGCTTCCAGGGTGCCAGATGCCGACGGCGTCCGACTAAGACTGGGAAGTGATTTCAGTGCCAAAGACTCCGGAAGCCTCGTTGTCGTCCTTGGAGGAGACTCAGGCTGAGCGTCAATGCCGGCAGCGGACGGGGAACCTCTCCCCGCCGAAGTTCCCAATGCACTGGACGGTTCACGGCTCATGTATATTCTTGATACAGAGCCTTAAAGCTGTGAGTAGACCTACATGTAGGACATTGGTCGGGAGAGCATGAATGCGGGTATGAGAGCGCGTGCCCCGGATAGGAAAGGAAGCCGACAAGGAGACAGGAGGTCAAGACAGTAGACTGCTTTTCGTGTCTCAGTATGCGTGCAGGAACAACTTACATAAAATGCGCGCTAATAAAGTTTAGATATAAATTGCACACCTTCAAGTCAAGCGCAACAAAAGCAGAAAGGTATCCCGAAACATCCGCGAGGGATGGGAGTCTAGTAATCGCCGCGGGCATTCCTTCAAGAGATTCCCGTTTTCGGGCTTCAAAAAGGCAGGTTAACAACTATCCTTCCCGATATGATATCATGTAATTATCATTGATTTGTATTACAGCACACTTCATGTAAGTTAAGCTTTTTTTCCTCTTCCAAGCCGAACAGACAGGGACGGAGGTAAAGCACGGAAATCTTGAAATTTCAAATTTCCGTTTCATCACACGCCATGACGTATGACGTCTCGGCTACACTCGTCCCTCCCCTACTCATTTCCCGGTCACTTTTCGTGCGCTCGCACACCTCCTTCCACGTCCTTACAAGCTTATCTGCGTTTACTTGCCAATTTGTGTTATGAATATGTTTCGCAGGTGGATCGATCCCAGTATTCCACCTCCTTACCATTTTCTTTATTTCAATTTTTCTATAGAAGTACTTTATGCAACCACAAAAATACCACGTCGTTCCCTCCTACGGTTCAATTTCAAGTTTTACGACTCATTGCTCTACACATTGTTTTCTTCGTGGCTCACACAGGAAGCCTCGTGACTTCTGTGTACTCTCATATTGTACAATCTGAGCTGCCCTTTGGTCACAAGGGAGGAGAGGAACCATGAGGTACTGCCACTTTCCATTGGAATCAGTGCCTGTCATGGCTAGTGCTTTGGCACTCTTGCTCGCTACAATGCCACCGACAGCACAAGCCGAAATACAAGGCTGCATACAAGCGCTGGCGAGACTAAACACTGCTCCGTACAACGCGTCTTTACCCTTTCTAAATGGCGTTTCGGGTCACGTCAATGTAGCATATCTCTACCAAAAACCAATGTTTGCTGTCATGCCAAATGAAGCCATGGGTAATTTCGACCTTTGCCGACATTCTGAGCTCTACACTTCCGGCTTGGTGAAAACCCACTACTGCGCTCTGTCTCACGATAAGGCAGGTATCTGCGTCCCCACCGAGTGTCGAGCGGAAGATTTGCATAACAAAGCAATTCTGCAACCGGTGATGAATCTGGGTATACATGCGAGTACTGTCATCCCCGAAGAATGCGCCATGAACTTACACCTGACGCAAGGGTGTGCTTATTCTCGACAAGCATTAGAGTATTTCCACAGTCTCTACAATTTGCTTGTGCTTCTTGGTAACGATACTCCGCAATCCACTGGCTCCGTCACTTGCACCACCCGCGCCCACACAGCGGAAGCATCGGCATACACAATGCTTGGTTTCACTCTTCTTTTCGCGACATTGGCCCTTCTCGGCGCGGCCTGGCAATATTTTCATGCCGTCGCCCACCATGGAGACAAGCGGGCACTAATCTCCTCCTCTTCGGCTGTGCCTTCCTCCAAACCGTCCTCGTCAACTAAATCCGATATAAAGCCATCTGACGCCTCATCATTGCCATCTCCCGGGTCTAAAGTCGTGGCGTTGACAGTCAAGGCAAGCCCGGGCCGCGAAGCATCTGACTTACAAGATATCCCCTTAGAGGAAGTGAACGAGCAGCCGGAGGGTACGCCGCGGTCGCGAAAGAATAACAACAAGAAGAAAGGCGTACTAAAGAGCAACAGCAGCAATAGCAACAAACCCGCTGTCCTTGATTCTGCCGCTGCTACCACAGCTATGGTTGCGACTTCGACAAAACAACCAGATATGGTGGAATTGATGGCACAGGTATTGAAGGTGCCTCCTTGCCCTAAGCCTATTTCTGCATTTTCTTTCGTGGACAATTTGAATGAAATTTTCACTTTAAAGGCTCGAGGAGGGGAGTTTGCGATTTTCGACGGCATGAAAGCCATTTCCGCGGCTTGGGTGGTTTTCTACCACGTGTTGCTGTGGCAAATTTATTTGGTGCAAAACCCAGAATATTTGGTGCCTCCAAAGGGGCTTTTGTCAAAGCTCTGGGCCGCGCCCTTTTTCAACTACTCGGGAACTTTAAGCGTCGACACATTCTTCTTCATCTCGGGCTTCCTGGCGTCATACATGCTATTGGTAAAGCTCGACAAGGAGCACGCTAAAGGGCTGAGCAAACCTGCCTACAAATGGATTCCCTCCCTGTACCTTCATCGATGGTTGCGGATTACACCGGCCTACATGTTTGCTTTCTTTCTTCACTGGAAGATCGCACCGCTTCTGGCTTACGGTACGTACTCCGCCTCACGTAGAAACCAATAGGGGCGTAAATTTTGTAATTTTCGGTGAGAGTGTACTTTCTTTGGTGGGCTAACAGAAGACCCGCCCAACCCGAGGCTACTCTCATCCACTAGCATTAATCCTGGTCTTCTCCCTCTATTATCCATTTATCGTATGACTGTAGGTCCTCTGGCCGCGACCGTGTGGGAAAACAATATCCGCCCTTGCAGGGGAGTCTGGTGGTCGCATTTTCTGTACCTGAACGACATTTACCCCTGGTGGAACCAGCGACTCGGAGAGGTTTGCTACGGGCACTCCTGGTACTTAGCCAATGACATGCAATACTACCTCCTCGTTCCTTTCTTTTGCCTCTTATACCGTTCCCCCCGAATTAATGGGAAAAAACTGGCCACGTACGCGGTATGGGCATGCTTGCTCACCTGCATCATTGTCTCGTGGACGCTCACTATCAAGGACAATTGGAGCCCCAACTCCTGGGACGGCGTGGACGGAGATCACTACCGGGAGGAAGGCTTTTCCCGCCCATGGACACGGTGCTCGTCCTACATGATTGGGGTCCTTTTTTCCTACATGTGGTACGAGAAGAAGCAGGGGAATCCGGACGGAAAATTCCACACGTTCCAGGCCAACTTTTTGTGGGTGAGCGGCCTCGTGCTCCTTGCCGTATCCATGTACGGACCTCATAGCGGTTCGGCTGGCGTCATTCCCTGTGCCATTGCCGCCCCGGGCACCCCATGTGGGAGCAATTGGAGCCCGTCGACCAGGGCAGCGATTATCGCATTGCTACGTCCGACTTGGACTCTGGGGTTGGGTTGTTTGTCGGTGTTATGCTGGAACAACCAAGGAGGTTTTATTCAGAAATTTTTGGCGGCTCCACTCTGGTTCCCCTTGAGTACCCTCAGCTTCTGTATCTACCTGGTCCATTATACGGTGCTCACATATTACATCAGCCAGCGGACCATGCGAATCCGTTTCGAGTTGTTTGGCTTTTTGAACGCATACTTTGGTTTGATGGCAATCTCGTGTGGCCTGGCCCTTTTTGTTGTCCTGTTGGTGGAGAAGCCCTTCATGAAGCTGCAGAAGTATTTCTTGGAGAAGCCGGCGCCTGCCCGTAACAATAACGGGGGTGGACCTGCCACATCAGGACAGAAGGAAAAAGAATGGACTCCGGCACACGATGCATCTCTTGACTCTCTCAAAGAGGCTGTTACACCTACTGGAACAGTTTTACATTGTACTTGTGATGATCATTAATCAAAATATTGCCCTACATCTCAGTGTTATACCACGAAGTTGACACATTTCAGGCGAGAGTCTTGACGTACCATAAAGAATCAGGTCAGCCGCCGGACCTCATTAAAAAAAGAAATTAAGGACGGAAAAATACAATAGAAGCGCCTCACATCGTTGTGGAAGATACGATGTTTCTGATGAAACATTACGTTTCGTATCCGCCGCTTTTGTCCAAGAACAGATCATGCGAAATGAAAATGAGGTGTGTGCCAAGGTCTTCTGCCTCCCGCCGACCTGTTCTTCCCACACATGTCTTCTAAATAAGGGAAAAGCAGGAAAGAGTACCAAATGGTAAAATTCATGATGTAATCTAGTGCTATTTCGTCAAATTTCGAGTTCAAGAGGTGCACTACTCGTTGGCTCACCAACGGATTTTTGAAATTTGAAAAGAATGGCGTCCAACATGGCAACCAACTCATTCGATACCCGAATCGAAATGCTTTACTATTAGAGTTATCAAACCAAATGAATCTCGTTCATCATGAAATTAAGACTTAGATTATCTACGCCAATAAGAAAAAGAAAGCTGAGATAGGCAGTGGTTTGAAAAGTTTACGGAGCACCCGAAAAAGGTTACGTAAAGACGCGCACGGCAAGTTCCGTGCCAGTATTTGATCCTCTGTAAGGTCCCCGTCCGGACTTTAGTAATTGCTTGTCAATAATCACATATTCACACAGATTACTGTCGAAAGCAAGACATCAGAGACCAAACGTCAAGATCTGCCCATTTTCTCTTTTGTCCCGGGCTGCAATCGTACGAGAAAATTCCAGTGGCGCCCCTCCGTGCTCCGTGTTCATTCGAGCGCGACTCATAGTCGCTTGCAACGAGTCTCACCTAGCTTTTGAAGCTAGCGATCTGATTCAAGTCAACATGGGATGTGTCCAAAGCAAGTCTTCCTTATTTATCGGCCCGCATGCTGACGAGGACAGCCTCCCTAAGCCGGGAAAGGAAAGAATGATGGAGGGAGAAGCACCAAGTTCAGCATTCACCGGTAATGCTCAGTCGGAGCTACCGTGCCAAGCTGAAAATAATTCAGTTCATCAAAGAGAAGGAAATTCTCGTTCTTTGCCAACTACATGGTCGACCTCTTCGCCGAGGGCCTCTACCCCGGGTGATTGCCTCCTATCTCCGCGGCTTGCTGCAGTCGCAGAACACGCTGCTGCTTCGGTCGATCCAGGTCCACATAAGGAGTCACATGTGCATGGTAAAGTAGTCAAAAAGAGGACGCTGCCCGTCCCATTTTCTGCGAAAGGTTGGTTGGCTTTCCCCGCCCAGGCTCCCATAAACTCGGGCCCGAGGCGACCGGCAACGAACCCAACTCCCACGTCCAACCACGACGTGCTCCTGAATGCTTCCTTGACCCAATCGCAAGGAATCGTGGTGGCATTGACCAAAACTACCGGTGGTGAAAGTGGGATCTCGGCACGGGGGAGACGGCCGCGGCCCTTGGCAATCCCCACCGACTCCCACTTTCATTTGAGCACGATATTGGGGCATTTGTTGATCGGGGGGGATGAGGTCAGCGACAATCTGACGGTTATGCGTCAATTAAATATCAAAAGCGTCGTTAACACTACAACAGAAGGGGATGACAGCATGGGTGGTACGTTAAAGAGTAATATAGGAAGACCGGGAGGGAGGCTGTATCCCCATTTTCCTCGACCCTGAAGGCTTTTTCCTTCGAATCAAATTCACTCGCCTCTCACATCTGTGTTTGATTGTGTGTGCTTGCAGTCTGCCTGCCCTGACTCCTCTTTATTCCTCTCTTCCTCTTTCTTCAGAGCTCTGCTACTTGAAGCTAAATTGGAGGGACGACATTGCTCAACCAATCCTCCCTGACCTTCCTCGGGCCTTTGCCGCCATCGACGCCGCCAAAGCGCAGGGAGGTTTGTGTTTGGTACACTGCAAGAAGGGGATGAGTAGGAGCGGGGCCGTCGTTGTCGCTTACCTGATGTACAGTAACAAGGACATGAGTCTGCTCGAAGCTCTCACGTACGCTCGAAGTCGACGCGCGATCATCGCGCCGAATATGGGGTTTATGGGCCAGTTGGTGGAGTGGGAGAGGGAGCATCGAGGAGGCAAGGTCAGCCTGGACCTGAGCAAGTACGAGGAAAACCGATTTGGGGACACAGCCATGCTGTTATGTGGAGCTTGACCTCCGAAATAAAAGAAATAAGCCACGGAATCCGAAATGAACTGTTGAAAGCGTTGAGCTTCTGCTACTGACGCTGGTATGAAGAGAATCAGCTACTTTTGTTCGGCAACATTTTCACATGACCTTGATCTGCGCGTGCCACTAAAGACAGTTTTTGGGATCTTCCGTTCATCTTCGTTATCAAATTCCGCTTTCACGTATGCCTCTGTCGTCGGACTTGGGCATCATAAGCATCATGATCCCACTCGTCGTACGACGCTTAGCAGTGCAAATCCGCCTGCCACTGTGCAGCTGCTCTCTCCATCCGCGACAGGCGTGAGACAGTAGTCGAAGCCTTCTTCCTGCAGTAGCTGGAAAAACCTCGGGTTCGTGTCCGTACGTGTCACACCCAGTAAAATCAAGCTATGCGGGCCACTCAAACGACACAATGCATGGACGACGGGACCGTAAAGCTCTTGGCAGTAGGCTACATCTGTTCCTACGACCACGTCAAAAGGGAGGGCACAGAGGGCTTTTACCTTGCTATCAGTATTCTTCGTCTCTTTATCTTTTAGCCAGTTGAATTCTTGCACGCGAATCGGAGCCTTCATTTTAGCAATATTGGCACAAATATTACGCTCGATAAGGTCCAAATGATCCTTTTGATCTGTAACCACAATTTCTTGCGGCTTAAATAGAGCATTGGTGGCTAAGGACAGGGCCACCAAGCCGGTGCCTGAGCCTATTTCGCTATTTGAGTATCAGTGCGGAAACTACTTCGTGAAAAAGTGTGACACATTCGGCCGTACTGCTTGTTATACAATATTTGCGCCGAGTCACCGATCAATTGTGTGCAGGCGAATGACTTACATAATTCGTTTGCCATACAGGACTTTGGAAAAAAAAGTGGCGTTTCGCCCAAAATACTCGCAAAGTAGAAGACCTGTCGTCCATATGCCGCCACCTATGCCTACATTCCATTGTGTCTCTAAGGTTAATTCTTGGCTGGAGGGGGTATGTGACACACAGGATAATGAAGAGAGTGCTGGGCTGCACTCGTTTGAGACGCGTTGAGCTTCGTGCTGCTCCTGCTCTGGTAGTTTTTCCCGCATCGCGATCGCAGCTTCCACCATCTTCCTGTCACATGTATTACAGATATTCATTTCTTGTGTGGAAATGAGGTGCGTGCAATAGAGGCCGGTGTTTTCACACGATATTGTACCTGTACAGCTTGGCACCAGGAGGTTAACCTCCTCGCTGGTAGTGGCTGGAAGGTCGCCTGCAGGGAGGTTAAAAGTAGGCTTTAAGTAAAGTAAAAGGTCGTGAATATTTGGGATACAAGTAGATAGGAAAACTACTCTTAGTGCTTTTTACGAAATTATATTACTAAGGGCTACTGATTGCCCGCAAAAGATCGCTTTACCCATCCTTGATCTACCCCAACCTTGCCTACTACAGACGACAAGGGAAGACAAAACTTACTTTCATTTTCTGGTTTTGGTGTTACATTTTTCAACGCGGAAAGGTATTAGACAGCTTACACGATCATCTTTCGTGATGCCTTCATCCACGAGTCAAAATTGAAATACACATCTCAAGTCTCCTAATTGTCCATATCAACTTTCAAAACCGCGGCAACGAGGTGTCGCTCTATCGAATTTACTCCACACAAAAATTTCCCTCCGCCTGCATTGAGGTATGTTGTGGCAGCCACACCTCACCCAATGAAGACTCGATCTCTTTCTGCACACAATGTTCACCCCTATCTTCCCCTCGGCCCTCCTCACACAGAGGCAGGTTCCAAAGACTCAGAAGACCATGCTCGGCAGATATGATCGCATCCGTCAGCCAGCACTTCTTCCATTCCCCTTCTTTCTGTCGGGAGAGGAGCCACAAATAATGCTGCTGTCGGGAAAAGCCATCGCCTGCCGCCATCGACACTGAGGCCGATGTCCCTGTCGATGCCACCTTTTTCACCGTCGTACGCACGAGAAAACAGGCACGATCGACGCTTTCATACTGCAGCCGACGTATCGAGAAGGACTGACAGCCAAGCAGAGGCTGAAGCCGATCATAGACCACATGGAAAGCGCGGAGGCTCAGCAAGGGTAGACGTCCCTCAGTGGTGCTCTCCCTTCCCTCCTCAACGACCGCCCCTGTTCCCGGCACGCAGCGCCTGTTATTCAACGCACCACCCGTCGACATTCCGGGTCTACTGATGCTTCCCCTTCCTTCGGCAGAGCTTCCCCCTCCCTTTGTGTCTTCCCCCTCCTCCTCCCCCCCTTCCTCCTCCCCGTCTTGGCCCGGCCCTACCAGCCGGTTGGCTGACGAAGCAAATTCAAAATACTTTGCCACACCGTCGTGGCGATGGCGATCGTTTTGCTGCAGCGCCAGCAATTGCAGCTCCAATACGACGTCGGAGGAAAGGGATGGCGAGGGCGTGAGCAGACGCCAACATCCTCGGACGGCGACCCGTGGAACCCTGGACAGGATCGGAACCACAGCCGGAGTCAACTGCCGACAATAGTTGAGGACGAGATGGTGAAGACGCGGGCATGTCTCTTCGAGAATGTGACGGAGCGAGGCGTCGTTCAAGTGGCGGTTGCCAGTCAGGTCCAAGACTAGGACGTTCTCACCTACGCGCGTCATCACCCTGTGAAGCACATGGAGGGGAGTGTGCGGTTTGATGGCCAAGGACCTGACCAAAAGATCGGAGAACGTGCGTGTGCTTCCAGAAATGCTGCGTATGACGTGCCACTGGGCCGTGAAACTCAGGACGCGCGCCAGGAGATCATCGTTGAGGCGTGTCAGAAGCAGGGAGGCGGGCTGGGTGACGCAGCATGCCGTATTTCCAGGAGCATGACGTTTCGAACTACACTCATCAAGGTTCCTCATCCTCCTTGCTCGCGTGTCCATGTCTTCCGGAACAAGACCTTTTCCACCTTCGATCCCCTCCGTGGGGACCACCAGGTTCCAGCCCGACTTAATACCGCACTTGAGCCACGCTATATCCTGTGTGATGATTGTGACGCTAATAAGAAATGGACTTTGTACCACATTGCCAGAAAACGCCCAAAACTTGGCCTGACAGCCATCCACTTGCAACTCATGCGCGGCTAAGCGCCGGCACCGCGTCAACAAGAAAAAGAGCAGCCATATGCCAAACCACGCCTGTCGTCAACATGCAGAGGCACACAGGGTGCAAATTACCCACTGCCATGCCCATGCACGTCATCGCATGGCTCGTACGGCCCGTCCTTCGTGTTGCAGGGGGCGCCGTGGGGGCGCTCGGTGGCATGACGTCCCGTCGTATCTGGCCCCATGTCACTTAAATGACCCGATCCAATCATCATCGCTCAAGCCGCCAACTTCATGAAGGTGACCGGCTTTGGCGAATTGGACTAGTGCGATAGGCGCATGGCATGACTTAGCCAGGGGCGGGGTGGGAATGGTAGATGTGCACAAAATTGGCTATGTGTGACGGCTTAATGCGTGCTTTAGTTTACGACGTGGCTCACCCACTGGCATTAGGGGACTGACTGGCTGAGGCATGGCAGTGCCCAATGCCTGCTTTTGGGTATTTCCTACCTCGACAAGCGTGAGCGCGTGATGCCGAGCATATTTGTACTCGATGTGGTTGGTAATGGATTCATTTCCTAGGCTTTAATACGGGTTACAAGAATGTAAATGACGCATCGCGGTTGTAATCGCCTCTCATCCGCCAAACTAAATATTTTCCAAACCCAAAAATACTGTGTGACATATTTTGTTTATGAGCTGGGCTATCTGAGTTCCCTTATACCTCTGAAAATCCTCAGATTATTACTTTTGAACACTTAATGATTGATAGCGCAGGCATTTTTCAAGCTTTGATGAAATGACTGATACGCAAATAACGATGCTGGCGCAGGCGGCCCGAGGCAACGAGCATAAGAGGGAGCTGGACGGTGACGAGGGCTGTGCGTGTAGATGAGGGAAATGGTCGGTAGCACGCAATCGCAATCCATCGCTACATGGAGGGATCGAAAGCGCGATACGTGAAGGATAAGAAGGCATGCCACATACACTCCCACCAAGCTTGACCCCACCCCCGAGACGAAAACGGAGATTGCCAAGCTCCTGCGCCCCGTCCCTCCCCCGCGACCTACAGATGAGGACGCCCATGAGGCTCTCCGTCCGGGTATGGAAGTAGGTGACCGTGTCATAGAAGCCGACCAGGGAGAGGAGGGAGATCAGGCATGCCGAGGCCAGGCAGGTGACGAGGTGGAGGAGGCTCCGGGCCTGCGGCATTCCCGGAAAAAAGAGCCAAAATACATGAGCGACAATGCGTTGGCTACGTCTCTCTTGTCCACACTCCCAGGGAGCCTCCAAGAACTTCCCTTGTGTCCTTCCTCCCGCCCTCCGCCCCGCCCTTCGCCCCTACCTCCCGCAGGATCGCCACCGTCTCAAACGTTTGGATAGCCAGGTACTGGGAGATGAAGAGCACGCCGTGGTCGGCGAAATCGAAGCGCTCTCTGCACCTGCCGTCGTGTCGGAGAGCCGAGTACCAACAGGTATCGCCTTCCTCCGCTGGCCGTGGGCCGCCACGAAGAAAAGAAAAGCGAAGAAGGAAGCTGTGTAAGCAAGACCGATGTGATGTGGCGCGAGGCTACTTATACCTCCATGCGCCTCCGGTAGCCACGTCGCACACCTCACCACGCCCTCCCTCCCGCCCACCCTCCCCCGGCCACCTCACCTTGCACCCATGCCTGCACACGGTTGAGGAGCATCAGGAGCACTGCTGTTCGAAACATGATCACCGCCGCATACAGCCCCAATCGTCTTCGCTGGCCCGTCCAAATCGCCTCCCTCCTCCTCCTCCCCTCCTTCCCCTCCTCGTCCTTCCCCCTTCCCTTCTCCGTCCGGCCCCCCTCGCCCCACCAGCCAGCCACAGCGGAGAACAAACAATTCAGGAACCAGGTCACAAAGGGAAGGACCAGCGCCAGGCCACTGGTCAGATGCTTCGTCCGAGGTGACGTCGCAGCTGCGCACAGGGGGTTCTTCCATCCGTCCTGACCCTCGGAGGGCGGGTCGTCTCCACCGAGAAGAAAGGAGAGGAAGGTGGTGGAGGAGGAGGGCAGGGAGCAGCAGGCAACGGTGGAGTGGTCTCCATTCATGTCGGCCCATGCCACGTGGCACCCGGGCTGAACGACGCGGACATACTTCTTCCCAGCGTTGTGGTGGAGGGCCTTCGAGAAGACCAGGGCAATCGTGAGCAGTTCGAGGGTGAAGAGGTAGAAGCCCTGAGGAATAGAGAAAAGATTCTACATGTGAGGGCAAGTGATGCGCGAAACAGGGGTGCATGTACAAGCCCTGTGTACGCACGGAAATCGCCACGGGAGAGGATGGTCTGTCGAGTGTCCCCTCCTCTTCAGTGGCCGGGTGTTGCCAACCGATTGGAGTAGTGTCCCGCTCTTGTTTGTCGCCTGCGTGCATGTTTATATATCGTGGGATCAAACGCATCACGTGTTAGATGGCTAAGTTTTTTGCCTATACGATGTTCAACGACGCTGTGAGAACGGAGAAAGTGTTCGACAGTCAGGACTGACACTCCACGACAGTATGAATTTAGCCTCCCACGACTCAAAGGCGCCTGGCGACTCGAGGCGACACACTGGATCGTCGGATTTGCTATGATTATTTATCACTACCTTGCACCTCTGTGGACCTGCTACTAAACGCTTTCTTTCCTGCCATACGTTGCCTGGAGGTAGTGCTGGGTCGCGAGGTGGCTGAAGCTTCCGCCATGAACTATCATAGCGGAGTGTTGGAAGGGAAGATAATTCAGTCAGTCCTGACAGTAAGAGCAGTTAAGTGAGAAGTTACTTATATATTCACAAGTGATTCGTTTTTCCTGGCATATTTTTGTGTTGAAGGCGACAGCAATCTAGCAGGCAGCGATGCAGTAGGTCGCGTATTTTCCTCGGAATCGCAAAATTGTCCCATCGGTTGTCGGTTTCCCATCCCCAAGATTTAACCATCTTGACAATATGCTGTATCTAAAGTTGAAATTTCCTTTTTTGTTTTCGTTGAGAACACCTGGTTACATGTTCTTCCAAAGAAGAAAATGTTGCCCAAGGTCGACACGGTCGCCTATATTGGCGATGACTTTTAGACGCCCCACATCTAAAACTTTTGAACAACCGAGGTTGCCATATTCTTGCATGTTTTGAAATTGTGTTCTGCCTCCATGCTGGCATTTTTCCTCACTTTCACATCATCCCTGTGCCTCGGAAGGCGCCTTAAGGCGCAAAGCCAACCCGCGCACGCCGTTTTTAAGCGACTTCAAAGTTTGAGCGACGGCTGTGTGCGATTGAAAACCATGTTAGCTCTTGATGATGGCCGATGCTGCCATTAATTTGTGACTCTACAGCCCCCCCTCCTCGTAACAGGTGCAATGGCATCTTCTTAATGTGGTACCGGGACGGCATGCAGCAGCGGGACTATCGCCACGGATACCACTCCGCGCATCGTGACCAAGGCGGGAACGGAGGAAACGCTGAAGGGGCCCATGCCGTTGACGCACATTTGCAATTACGTGTCTGGAGATAGTCATCCTGAGCATCAGGACGATGATGCACACTCCCACGTGGAGGGCGCCGGCCCATGGAGCGGGGAGGACGAGGGAAGTGGCGCACATGCGAGAGCCAGAGGCCCCTGCTGTCAAATCGTCTCCGCCGTCAAAGCGTTTGTGGGGCGTCTGGACATGCCCCTAACCAGCAAGTCTGCCTTCTACGGGGCGCTGAAGATGATATCGGAGCTCCCATCGCCGAAGAGGAAGTCATGTGGGGGAATCCTCTTCAGCAGTTTCGGTCTCGTCAATCTACTTGGGAATTCTTCGGCGCTGGACTCACCGCAGAGGTGCCGCCTCCAGGCCCACTTAAGAGTCAACGACGGCGGAGATGGCATAGCTGAACTACCTCGTGGGGGGGGGAACGTGAGGCCAGCGTAGCGCTGGCCTGAACCAACGAATAAGAGGAGGCATGTGATCTTTCAAACGTGTCTGAAGGATAAAAACTTCCACTAATCCTCTGACATATTCATTTTTCTTTGCGCTCCATCGAGAAATTAATTGCCAAACTATTCCTCAACTGATGAACAGAAGACGGAGGACTGCAGCACCAGGCGATCCGGATGTGAGGCGTCAAAGTCATAGCCACCTCCTTTATCCGCTTTCTTGTTTACTCTTCCAGTGGGACAACAATCTGAAGTCCTCAAGAACTATGGCCCTTCCTCAGTCAGAAATGTCACGAGTGCATGCATTAAAAGGATGAATACTGGCTTGTCATGCATCACTGTCATGAATTGTTTACTTCGGCGCCCAATAGGTCATGAAAAGGTCGTTAGGGGACCCCGGTAGCGATGTAGCCTGTCACGTCTCTCTGCGAGAAGCAATGAGGCGAGCTGAGGGCTGACGCCGGAGAGGACGCCGTCTCCATGGTCCTGCGCTCTGTCCAATTTCCATTCTCCCACTGACTTTCCAAAATCTTACCCACGGATAGAAGTGTACACTTTTCTGAAGGTGTAAGCGCACGTAACCTTGCTAACTGTCGGAATTGTCACCATGAAGAGTGGCGAGTAGAGCGTTACATCAGGGTGGGGCTCCCTGCTGTCGAATATTGGCTGTTAAGCGTAGTCAATGAAATTAATGGAATGTGTGACATCACCATTCCTTGAATTTCCGTCGACTGAGGCCAGGATTTTCTGGGTCTACTTTAATTTCGCTTTGAATAATTTGCGTTCTTCCATCTTTAGATTTGATACTTACCTTTTAACCTCCTCCCTCGGCGCCAGCACGAGGTACTACATAGTATGGAACGTCGCCAATACCAATTTAACAGTCTCTATTTTGCACTTCAACATCAGAAAATATTACAATGCGGGCAAGACCATCACTCATTGCAGCCCTGAAGCAATCTTCGAGGCACGAAGATGCTCTAGAATTTACGCAACTTTTCCACAGTATCAACTTTGCTCATACGCTTCGAGTTTCGGATGCCGTCCTAGAGCGGTACGATGCCAAAAAAGGTCTAGAAACCACGCACGAAATCACTAAATATCTGTGTCGTACAGATGAAGGCGGCACATATCTTTCAGCAGGGGTGATCACGGCAATTTTTGACGAAATCTCCACGGCTGCATGTATCTTGCAGGATCGCACTCATCGTCCAGGCGTCTCTGTCGCACTGGATGTGGAAGTGATGGCAAACATCACGCCTGGTCGGAGTCTGCGTTTAAAAACCTGGGCAGACAAGATCGGGAAAAGTCTCGCTTTCTTGCGTTTGGACCTGAGGGACGCTGCCAGCGATCAATTGGTGGCTGTCGGGAAACACTGCAAGTATTTGCCAATGGCAGGCGTTCCATTTTGGGACATGGCATTCACGCCACTCTTGTACCCTATTGTTCGAAAATCTTTGCTTGGGTTAACACGCAGGCATGTGGCCACCGGGGAGCGTGTCAATACACACGATGCGTCCTCAATATTTGATCACTTCCCCTTGGACAATTTGACACTGGAAAATGAATCTGACAAAGGAGACGAGCGTCAAAGGTTGCAAGCAACCCGTGCCAGCCTTCATGTGAAGCCACGCCATTGCAATGGATTGTTTAAGATGCACGGAGGGGCTCTGGCTGTTGCGGCCGAAGAAATCGCGCTTCTCGATGTCGCCGCCCGGAAGAAAGAAAGCACATCCCAAGCCCCGCGGGCGCGTGCTTTGAGCTTGCATTACCTCCAGGCAAACGATCGAGTGGTTGACTTGGCAGCGTGGACGCTCCAGGACGCGTGTGAAAAGAGCGGTGGGGAGGAGGGAGGGGATGATGGACTCCTGACGCAGATTGAAGTCCGTCGTGGAGGGAAGTTGTGCAATTCCGGCAGCATTATATGGCAATAAAGCTTTGAACTACAGTCTATGCCTATGTATTTCACGGTGTATGTAATATTTTTTTTAAAAAAAGTAAACGTGGATCAGCGACTTTGGTTCTTACCCATTTCGTTCACAACCCGAAGACATGAGAATGTTACGCCATGTCAACGAAGGGCACACAAGGGCACACAAGGGCACACGTAAACCGTGTGAACAGAAATTTTATGCAAATTTATGAAACATGTGATGGGAAGGGAGTGACGCGAGATGATTTGATATTCAGGTGTACGGTGGACCTAAAAAATACGCTCCTACTCTCGTTCTGCCTTTCAGCACAAAAGCAAAGCATGCACTCGTTGTCAACCCAGCAATCTAAACGTCAACCACAGCACGCACACATCTACAGATTGTCATTCACCATGGGTCGATGTCCCTGACTAGATGGACGGCAGTCTGGGAATAAAGGGGACACGAAGCTTTAATAGCAAACCTCCCCTGGCAAGCTTTTCCTGTCAGTACTGTAAGAAGCCCCCCTCCCATGCCTAAAAAGGCGCATCAAGTCTCAGCATGGTAAAGACGCCACATCGACCCACGGATAGCGTGGAAGACTGCTCGTCCGTCTTGTCGCTGCCTCTTGCGCTCTCCACCGTGCCCAATGGTGGTATCGGGGAAAGGGAGATATTTCGATGGACACCTCCGGCATCACCACGGGATGACAAGTCTCCTCACGGGACAAACGGCCGAACCAGGCATCAAGAAGGGGGAAGAAAATAATAGAGGAAGAGGAGCCGCTGTCGACAAACGCGGAATTTTTGGCCCCCGTGGAGTCGATAAAGGATTTGTTTCGCTTGCCTTGCAGTACTCATGGGGTATCAGTGGCACTGCACAAATTTCAAGACACGCTCCTCATGGACGGCGCTCTGCACGAAGTCTATTCTACCGAGGCCAAACCACGCGAGGAAGCAGGAGGGAACGGCCCGGTGGACGACGCACGGGCCTGATGGTCATCCTGATCACCAGGACAATGACGATGACTTCCACGCAGAGGAGGCCCATGGGGCGACGTTGATGAGGGAAAAAGCACACAGGCAGAATCTAGGAGCCCCTCTTCTCCCACCCTCTACCTCTTAAAGCAGTGGGTCGCGCGGCTGTGCTGGTCGCCCGACAGGAAGCGTGTCTTCTACGCGGGGCTGAAGAATGCGGGGGCGCTCCCGACGCCGGCGAGGGGGACATGTCGGCAGATCCTCGCCAGCACTATCGACGTCATGACGAATGTAATTGGGCCTTCTTCGGCGCAAAGCTCCCCGCAGAGGCGCCGCCTCAACTCCAACAGTACGGCATCCGCGGCGGAGATGGCAAAGGTTACCACGGGGAACAGCGCGGTGCAGGTTGCCACGGCTTTCTTCCGCCAACAGATTGATGGCTACCGGGAGAAGCTCCAAAGGTGGGTGGGGAAGAAGGCTCTGCTAAGGAGGGAGTGTGTGATGACGACGGGGGCGTCTAAACCTGCGGCGAGGGGCGGGAGCCGGCGGAAGGGCTCCACTTGTGCCTCGGAGGTGT